TCGGCCGGAGGTCTAAATCCTTGATTATTTTGAAATCCTATTTGACAATATTTTTTCCGGTCTTTAATAAAAGATGTTTGTCTCATCAAAATACCTGTAGTTTCCTAAGACCGTTTTAGCAGCTGTCATCTGACTTTCAGGTGTAAAGTCATGTTTTCATCGGGTGACTTAGATAAACTTGTTACAGGTTCCTTGAACCATCTCTTTGATTATTTCTACTTCTACCTACTTTATTATGGTTTTGTCTTTTATTTCAACTTCTTTAATCAGATTGATTTTTTTAGTTTTTCTAGAAGTTGGTTGAATATCTATTAGAATATTATCTATTTCTATGATTTCTTTTATACTATGACTTGAGGTATAATTTTCTGTCTTGTTTATTAATATATTATATACCTTTTTTTAAGTATAGGAACTTTTAGATCTTTCTTTTGTCTTATCTCTTTTTTTACAAAGTGATAATATATTTTCTTAATATATGTTCTTTCATCAAAGTTAAAGGATATATATTTAACAAAGTGATAATAATATTGTCAAATATTAAAGTTGTGTAGATTGCTTCTACTAGGATATGTAGTTGATCTCCTGTCTTATGTCTTAGCTTATATTAAGTATTTTTGTCTTCTATAGTTTTTGATGTGAATCATGACTGGTAGCAACATTTCTTAATATTCCTAAGATTTCTTGCTTATATATTTTTAGAATTTTAATAATGTTTTACTCTTTTTGAGTTATATTATTATGTGAGATAGATAAATTATTACGTGTATTGGATTGTTTTGATATTTTATTATTTTTCTACATAGTGATCTATAAATAAAGAACTATATTGGGTTATATAATCAGATAACCTTTATTAATATATTGTTGTGTTTTAATCTTGTGTACTGGTCTTGTTTATCTACATATATATTAATTGTTTATTGCTTATAATACAGTTAAATTAATATGTGTTACTATTTTGAAATATATTAATGTATAATAAGTTGTTATTTTGTTATATCTAGGATTTATTCACTTTATGTATTCATATTCATATAATATGAGTTGATAGATCAGTTGTTATAATTGTTTGTTGCTGATCTTTATTGTTTGATCCAAGAAACCTGAATATTCTTCTAGATTTTTTAAATTTAAATTTAAACTAATTGTTATTTTGAATTATTACTTTTGAAATCTCTTTTAGTACCTAAAAAGGTGTTAATTTGCACTGACCTAGCTAAGAGCTTTGTGAAATTGGTATCTGCATAAGTGACTTGAGAGTCTTTCAGTACATTATTAATTAAATCTATTTCTATCTAAATATAAATATACTTACTTATTTGTATAATATATTTTAGATTTAATTCCTCAGAAAAGGATTGTACTTAGCCTTGTAATTGGCATATCCTACTAATAGTTATTAGTATTAGTGATTAATAAGAATATTTTAGATTATTCAACTAACTCACACATTACCACTAATATTTTTGGACTCAAGTTTTAATTGATATGATAGTATTACCTTTCCAATCTTTCATCTTAAGATTTTTGCAATTAAGATAAAACTTCTTAATTTACTATATATACAAACTTCATCACTAAATGTTTCTGGCTATTTCTTGTTTTATTTAGTTTGATCTTTTTAAGCAGTAAGAGCCAGAACCTACCTAATATGCAATCAGGAGTAGGTAACTTTAATTTTTAAAAAGTTAATCAAGTATTTTATAACTTTTATTGTGGTTGAATAGATTCTTTTTTGTATATAATGATATATCAGTAGCATGCACTATATCTATCTACATTATAGCATATGACTTATGATAGATCCCAGGTTCTTATAGAGTTGAGGAAATACATTCAAACATGTGAAATGACTAATAGAAGTTTGTTTATATTCATTTATTGATGTGATCCTACTAAACTAATTAGCTTATAAAAATTTTGTGCTACTTAAAATTCTGGGTCAAGCTGAGGTAAGTAAAATTCTCTTGAAAAAACTGAGAAAGAGTACTATTAGAGTTCATACAATGTAGAAGAAAATGAAAAATTAGCTTTCATGCTATAGGACAACTCTGTATTGTTTTTCTATATACCGGATAGGTAGTGAAGCATCAGTTTTTCTCCTTTCAGAACTTTCTTGCCATTGTTAGAAAAGGTATCTTCCAAACTTTTGATTATAGAAGTCTAGTTTTTTGTTTGAATAAGAATATTAATAATATATGGAGAGGATGTGGGTAACTCAGTAAATGCTTTTATATTGGTTTAAGGAAAGTGATAAAACTTTATTAGTCAAGAAGTATAGTGACTTCTTGCAAACATCTTTTTTGTATGTGGTCAGAGGATCAATGGAAAGAGTTGAAAATAATAAAATTATATATAACAAAGTTTATAGAAATAACTAACAAATAACTATTTAAAGATTAAACATAAAAATTTAATAATTTTTTTTTTAAAAAATAAAGTCAATCCAATTTTAAAGTTTTATTTCTTTAAAGTTGTTATTTTAATACTTTTATAGAATTAATAAGGAAATTTTATGTATAATAAAAGCTTATTAATTAAAAAAAAATAGCATCAGTAAAAAATATAAGGAACATATAATCTTTTTATCAAGAAAATAAAATCAATATAATATAAATATACTTAACAAAAAGAAACTAGAAAAGTTTATTAAGAGGCAAGCTTTAATATAAATATATTTAATCTGAATAAACTTTTTGATTTAAATGAATTCGATTTGAAATATGATTTTATTGCAGTGGAAATTTGAAAGTTCACTGTCAATTTTTTTCTTTTGCAGCTTCAACATTTTCCACCGGAATAGCTGCCAGGCGGCGTGATCTCTTTACGCTTCCATCCTCTCTACTGGTCCAATGCCAGTCATAAATATGTAAATCTTATGCCACAAAAAAGAGGTCGGCATGATTATCTCTCTTTTGCGCTTTCATCAAATTTCCACCGGCCAGGTGCCAGGCATGAAGATCTGGGTTTAATGCCACAAAGAAGAGGTCACCGGCCAGATGCCCGGCGTGATCATCTCTCTTTTACGACTATCATCATCCTCACCGACCAGATGCCAGGTAAGGAGATGTTATACGGTTAAAAAGAAATCACCAAGGCATGGTTCTCTCTTTTACGCTTCCATCATCCCACCGGCCAAATTCCAGGCATTATTCTTCTTGTTAGATTAGATACCGGGAATGGTCTTATACCGAAAAAAAAAGGTCACCAGCTAAATACCAGGCGTTATTGCTTCTCCTTGCCGCTTCCATCGTCCCACCAAGGCATAATGTGGGTCTTATACCATAAAAAGAGGTCACCGGTCAGACGTCAGGCACGGTTTTCCCTTTTACGCTTCCATCAATATCACTGGTCAGATAACAGGCATGGAGATGTGGGCCTTATACCGCAAAAAAAATAGGTCACCAGCTAGATAACAGGCGTGATTCTCTTTTTACGCTTCTATCGTCCCCATAGCCAGATGTCAGGCATGAAGATTTTGGTCTTATACGCAAAAAAAAGGTCACCGGTTAGATGTCAAACGTGGTTGTCTCTCTTTTACGCTTCTGGTTAGATACCAGGCATTAAGATGTGGGTCTTGTATCATAAAAAGAGGTCACCGGTCACATGCCAGGCGTGATTTCCTCTCTTTTACGCTTCCACCATCCCCACCAGCCAAATGTCAGGTATGGAGATGTGGGTCTTATTCCGTAAAGAGTTTAGCGGCCAGATGTCAGGCGTGGTCGTCTCTCTTTTACGCTTCCATCGTCCCCATTAGACAGATGTCAGGTATGGAGATGTTGGTCTTATCCCGCAAAAAAGAGGTCACCGGCCAGATGTCAAGCGTGGTTGTCTCTCTTTTACGCTTCCATCATCCCACCAGCCAGATGCCAGGCATGGAGATGTGGGTTTTATACCGTAAAAAAGAGGTCACTGGCCAGATGCCAGGCGTGATTATCTCTCTTTTACGCTTCTGGTTAAATGCCAGGCATGGAGATGTGAATCTTATACCGCAAAAAAGAGGTCACCGGCTAGATGCCAGGGGTGATTGTCTCTCTTTTACGCTTCCATCGTCCCCACCAGCCAGATGCCAGATATGGAAATGTGGGTCTTATTCCGTAAAAAGAGGTCACCGGCCAGGTGTCGGGCGGTTATCTTTCTTATACGCTTCCATCCTCCCACCGGCCAAATGCTAGGCAGAGACGTGGGTCTCATACCGCAAGAAAGAGGTCACCGACTAGATGCCAGGCGTGATTGTCTCTCTTTTGCGCTTCCATCGTTCCCATTAGCCAGATATCAGGCATGGAGATGTGGGTATCAACGCAAAAAAGAGGCCACCGACTAGATGCCAGGCGTGATTGTCTCTCTTTTGCGCTTCCATCGTCCCCACCGGCCAGACACCAGGTATGGAGATGTGGGTCTTATTCCGTAAAAAGAGGTCACCGGCCAGATGTCAGGCGTGGTTGCCTCTTTTTTACGCTTCCATCATCCCACCGGCCAGATGCCAGGCATGGAGATGTGGGTCTTATACCGCAAAAAAGAGGTCACTGACCTCTTTTACGCTTCTGGTTAGACGCCAGGAATGGAGATGTGGGTCTTATGCCGAAAAAAATATCACCGGCTAGATGCCAGGCGTGATTGCCTCTCTTTTGAGCTTCCATCATCCCCATTAGCCAGATGTCAGGCATGGAGATGTGGGCCTCATACCGTAAAAAAAAAGGTTACTGACGAGATGTCAGGCGTGATTGTCTTTTTTGCACTTCCATTGTCCCCACCGGCCAGATACCAGGTATAGAGATGTGGGTCTTATTCCGTAAAAAGAGGTCACCGCCAGATGCCAGGCGGGATTGCATCTCTTTTACGCTTCCATCGTCCCCACCGGCCAGATGTCAGGGATGGAGATGTGGGTCTTATACCGCAAAAAAGAGGCCACCTGATAGATGCCAGGGGTGATTGTATCTCTTTTACGCTTCCATCATCCCACAGGCCAGATGCCAAGCATGGAGATGTGGGTCTTATACCGTAAAAAAGAGGTCACTGGCTAGATGCTAGGCGTGATTATCTCTCTTTTACGCTTCTGGTTAGACACCAGGCATGGAGATGTGGGTCTTATACCCAAAAATATATCACCGGATAGATTCCAGGCGTGATTTACACTTCCATCGTCCCCACCGAGGCATGGAGATGTGGGTCTTATACCGAATAAAAAGAGGTCACCAGCTAGATGCCAGGATTATCTCTCTTATAAGCTTCTATCGTCCCCACCGAGGCATGGAGATGTGGAACCATCCGGTAACTTAATAAAGCAAGATAACGGTATAATCGGTGGTTACAATTTCCTTTTCATCAAATAGAGCAATACTTACGAAAACCTATGTGCTCAAGACCTTTATTTTTATTGCAAACTCAACGAAACAATCAAGATGTTCCATTGAGATAGTCCTTAGGTTAATTTCTTTATGTCGTCAATTGTATACTTCTTTGAACATCTGATGGTGGACTCACTGCTTTTATGTCCCATATCCCTGTCATTCAAGATGCGATTACCTTTTGAATTATTGACAATTAAATGAATAGTGTCTAGTAATTAAGTAGCTTATCTCTCATACAATTCCGGAACTTGTTGATTATTTGGCAATTTTCGCTGCTGGTGAGGCTCAATCCAGTCAAAAATCATTGTATCGTTGTTCTTTATAAAACTTCAATAATAACGTGGCATGTTGCACAAATATTTCCTCGTGATAAATTCCCATTGCTTTAAGATATCTATCTGATAAAAAGTCATTAAAAACATTAAATAAAAATGCTTGCAATGAACATAAAGGATTTACAAGATTGCACTTTCATAATACAGTATATAATTCGTTTATTGAGTCCGAGTTCTGAATCCGTTTTTTGTCTTCTGGAGTGGTTTTCCATCATATTTCGGTGAATTCAAGCTTGCCATTCGAACGCACGAGCTTACAGTATGTCTGGTCTGATACCATTGCCTGTATAGAGCCAATCTAATTTTTAGGAGTCGCTTAAGAAAAAAAAAAAAAGTAACTGATAAAAAATTCATTTACGTTTTCAATTAGATTTTCGACAACGCCATACCTTTATTATATATTATATGGTTTAGACTCGCGTTAGGAGAAAAAGAAATTGGTGCAATTTATAGAGATCTACCTTCACATGAAATGGAAGTCACAAGATTACGGGATCGCATGACTTTATAATTCATTTAAAGAGATTGGGCAAAATTAATATATGACGGCCAGAATTACTATATAGTTGATTAGAATTAATATAAAATTGATTGAAGTTAATTGAGACTTTAAGCTAGTTTGAACTAAATAAAATAAAATCTGAACTAGATATTTTAAGTTAAATTTAAAAAATAATATTTTATTTTTTAATAGATTAATACTAAACTTTTATTTATTAAATAATTTGATACTATAGATTATTCTAAAAAATATTAAATTATTAAATTAATAAATTAAAAAAAAAGAGAAAAAAGAAAAAAATAACTTTAAACTTTTTAAAAAATTCTTATTTAAAAACAATTTTCTTTTAATTGAGATTTATTTAATTAAAATATTCTTTAAGTTTGAATGATTTTAAAATTTAATTATTTATCAATGAAGTTATATTTTATTATCTTAATTTTTTAATAAAATATTTTATTTTAGATTTTTTTTTTAAAAAAATTTAAACTTATAGTTTAATTAAAATAATAATATAAACTAATTATGGGAACTCTTTCCGCTAATCTTCTGACCACATATAAAAAAGATATTCGCAAGAAGTTTTAATACTTCTATGCTAATAAAGTCTTACTACTTTCTTTAAACCAACCCAAAGAGTTCTCTTAAAACTCTCCTACCTTTTCTTCTCACTTGTCTACAATCTCCTTTGAATAAACTGAACTCTTGTGGCTTGCAAAGTTCAGCTCTCACCTTTACTACCTATGGCAAAAAAGTTCCTAAAGGGAAAAGGATCAATAGTGAAGTACCTTCCACCTCTCAAGTTATGGTGAAGATAACAGAGGTTAAAACCAGTCAAAAGACTAAATTTTTCACCTTTCAACTGGTGTTATGGTCTCTCAGAGCTATCTTTTTCATAGCTTTCTGGAGAATTTTGCCTATCTCAGCTTGACCCTGAAATTTTGAGTAGCACAGATCTCATCAACTCTGATTGGTTGATGTGAAACATATTGGGCAAGATTGATAAACAAGCTCCTATTGGCCACCTCACGTGTCTGAATGCATTTCCTCAGCTCTATAAGAACCTGGAGTCCACTATAAGTTATATGATCTGATGCAAGTAGATACAGGACAAGACCCTGACACATTATTGGATACAAGAAAGAGATTGTCCGATTATGGAAAATGTCATAAGATACTTGATTGTTTTCTTTTAAAAATCAAAGTCACCTATTTCTGATTGTATGTCAGGTAGATTCCCACTTCTACTGCTTGGAAAAGTCCAACCAGAAAAAGTGAAGAAGATGATCAGAAACACTCAGTAGTAAAGTTAATACGTATAGTAAACCAGGAAGTTTTATCCTATCTCTAAAAAATCTCAAGCTGGAAGACTGGAAGGTTAACACCATCACACCAATCGAAATTTGAGTCTGAAAATGTCAACAATGACATGCGAGCCAGCCAGATAATTTGGAAGATCCTTGATAATCACTAATACCAATGGTCACCAGCAGAATACACGAATCACAGAGCTAGGTGCAGTACTTTTATAAGGAATTAAATCTGAAATACATTGTACAGATGGGTAAGTATACCCATATTCAGATAGAAATGGGTTTAATTGATGATATACTGGGAAACTTTCAAGTCATTCATGCGGATACTAATATACTACCTGGGTCTTCTTGGTTACTTTCTTCCCACAAGTCTTAAAACTATAAAGTCTTCCTTTTTATCTCTACCTTATTTCCGTAAAGACTCAATAGAAGCTTCCTCAGACCTCTATTAAAAGGGGAATTTAAAACAGGATGGACATTGCTGAGAAACACCACAGTTCATTGTTTTAAAACAACACATAACTGCTCCTTTCATTTTTTTTTAATTCTCTTTAATAATACTCGCATACTCAGTGGGATGTGGGTTTCTTTTATAAAAAAGAGGTAATCAGCCTTGAAGTAGCATTAGCTTATCAAACTCTTTATTTACTCCCAGATAGATACCCCTGTACATACGCCTTGTGCAATTGTATAAAATGTAATTTGGAAATTAATAAAGATTAGGTATGAGTCTGTTAAAAAAAAAAAAAATAATAATAATAATAATAATAATAATAATATCAATAATATTTTAATTTTATCTAATTAATATAAAAACTTAAAAATCTTAATTTTTCTTTAGTAAAGTTTTTATATTATTAAAAAAATTTAATTTTTTTTTTTAAAGTTCAACTAACAGGATAAAACTTTATTGAGTATTCAATAGATATTTTTCGATTACATGAGCGATTATATGATAACTCTATTGAATTATCTATTCTGCAAAGTTCTCCAATTTTATCAACTAGTGATACTATTTTCATTAGTTGTCTGTTCTACCTGGGCCTTATGATGTTCTAAAGATTCATTATTGAACTACTTATTAAATCTTTAGGAAGCTTATAATATGTATTCCTTAGAGAGGTCATATATACTATTTTTGATAATGGTAGGTATTGTGGACAATCCTTATCATGTTTAATTCTTTGCAAGTTAGTGAAACCTTAAATAGTATAGTCCTCTAGTTATATTCTTTGATATTCAAGTGATTCAATAGTATTATAACTATTGAGGCATATGGCCTTCCATTGCCTTATTTTTAATCACTCTTGCAAGCTGGCCTACAGGAGTTTTCCTTAATTGTTACTTTTTGAATTGCTTCTCACAAATTTCTAATTCATTACTACAATTCTCAATATGATACTAAAGTTAACTACTAGTCTTCACAATAGCTATCCTCTTTGATAGCTATTAATTAAATAATTAAAATAATTTTCTATATATCTCATCCCAGATTGTTATGTTTTCAACAAATACAAGCAACTGAAGTCTCCCTTATTTTCTATAGAATGTAGTTTTGATAAGAGATAAATTTCCTTTATATAGTCATTGAGAAGTTGAACCAATCAAGGTTTTGTCCTTGATTTGTTTAGATTCTTTACATATTTTTAACAGTAGAATTCGTAGGTTTGTTTCTTAGTATTAAAACTAATCAAGACTGTATAACCTGAAAGAGACTATAGTTAGATAGTGAAAGTTCATAGGATATTTTTTTATATACAAGTTTGCATATGGCTGAGTAAGCATGTATCTTATATAACATAATCTATATTGCAAGTACTATTCTTAAGTAAGATTGAACTAGTAACTTGTAAATAGTGATCTGAAAGTGCACCCATTGTACTATTGACATATAGATTTTCAAAAAATTTAATAAAAAATAAAAATTATATTTTTTATTTATCTTTAATTATTAAATTTTTTGTTTATAGTTTATTATTATTATATATTTTTTAAAGTTTTATTATAATATTTCTTAAAACTAAAAAACTTCTTCTGTTGATTTCCTTTTTTTCAAAAAAATTTCTTTTTTAATAATCTTCTTGAAAAAAGTGAACCAGTTCAAATACATAAAGAAAAATAACATATCCTTCAAACTAAACTATTATATATTTTTATTATACATATAACAAGCTATTAAAAAATATCAAAGAAAGAGGTATATAATAGAAAGAAAATGGAGCCACCAAGTTCAAGAACAACAAGGCCATACATGGGATCTAGTATAGAAGAGAATTAATAGCCATACATGGGATATATCTTTCAAAGATTGTCAAAGAAAAAGCTTCCTAATCAAACTAATGAATGACGAGCTACCAACATTGAGTAAACTGACAATAAGAAGGCCAGACCTATACAAGCAAGTAAAATGTACTGCATGTGATCTTCAGGAGGAAGAAACAATTAATCATTTGCTAGAATGTCCAGTGTATATGGAACAGATGAAAAAGATATGAAATAAAGGTCTCAAAGAAGTTTTGATAAATTTCAGAAAACTTTCACAGGAAAGAAAAAAGGAAGCGGAAGAGAAGAATTCTAGATTAATGGTGAATGACAGTAAAGAAATAGATGAAGTACATAAGTGGATATCCAGACTAGTAGAACAGTTCTCAACAACTAGTCAGGATATGCTAAGTTTCTTTGCAGGGTTAATAAGAAATGAACTCATTCTTGAGATGGCAGACCTTAAATGCCATGGTAAAAGAATTGGAAGAGAAGCAAGAAGATAAATTAAGAA